CTTGCCCCTCTCACCTGCCCCTACAGACAAACATCACTAGGGCTTCCCTTATGGTTGTACACTAACATAACATTTATAAACAAGAGCCTTGAACTAATTATGAAATATCGGCGTTGATGTTAAGTTTAATACCTTTCTCGCGTCGCTGGGAGTTTTACAGTGTTTGCCTGACGTTTAGAGAAGAGTGGCTTCCTGAGACGACTGAACCCAGCTCACGATTTCAGTTTGCTCGCCGAGCTGGTGAAGGTCTCTTCCTCTCAGTATCGTTGACAGAACTTTAATGAATGAACAAAACACACAAAAGGAAGCGAAGCTGAAGTTCTTCCCAGATGTGCGGTTTTTCAGACTTTGTTTTGACGACGGTAAAAGTGACCAGTAACGACGCCCACGTGGTAAGGTCAACCATAGAAATAGTGACTGCTGGGGGGCAGCGGCACAAAGTGAAGCACCATCGATGGAAAACGTGGTAAGCGCATTCTTTCTTGGAAAATGAGTCAGGGAGCAGCGATTGTATAGATTCTAGAGGAGTTATACTGGAAATGGGCCGTCAAATGGAGTGCATATGGCAAAAAAACAGAAACACGCCGAACGGGGCACTTTGATCATGCGTTGATTTTGGGCTTTGGATGATGCAATAGCCACTAACGGGATCAATCGGAAGTGCTAACTGCGACAGCCGCTATCAGGCCAACAAGCATCATGCTTTGATTAATATCGGATTGCACAGACAGTTGGAAGGTGCGACTGCTAGAAGTGAAATGCTCAGATAAAAAGCGTGCCGGTGCTGGGGTGGGGCGATTTTGGGGCATTATTGTTTTCAAGTTCGGAGCCTGAGCTGCAACTAGCTCATCCTTCGCTGCGTAAATGCCACAACTAGCTTCTTTTGCTGTGTGGCCACTGCTTCCAGTGGCACATACTTTCCCTTTTCCCACTTTATCACTGTCAGTCCTTCCCCTTCCCGTGTAATGCCTCAGATGGCATCATCTCTCTTTCATTGCTAATCATAGGGACCACAATGTGAGCGCTGCTCAAAAGCTTTGCCCTATGTGACTTTTTTATGTCTCATTTTATTATTAACCCATTAAAGCGCAAACCGAGAGTGTCGACCGCATTTGGCGCACCTCTGGACTAAGAATGATCATGAGGGTAACTCTCCGCTGCTTTTACCATCAGTATGGCTGCGGCTCTTCTTGCCAAGTAGCAGTTTTATCAGCTCTGGAAAAATTCAATGTTCGCTGTGAGCGATTCTCTGTGCGAGTCCAAACTACTGGCCACTAGCGATCTCCACGCAACGTAAGGGTGCGTCCACGACAAGCGGACGATTTTTCGTGGTAATCGGCCTTGATGCTTTAAGTTAACTTGAAAGAAAATCAGTGATTGGGAACCTAGTACAGGAAGTTTTTCACATGTGAGTGCATCGATGATCGCGATCTTGTCTGCATTTTGCGCGGCATTGGGAGCTTGAGGGTCAGAGTCAGCCAGACGGAAATCTTATCAAATCTGAAACAACTCATTCAGGAGGGCGAAAGGTAAACCATTAATTTCCGGCCTAGTCTACAATTTTTCATTAACACACTTCAAGTCGAATGAGGATCTCACATAAAGCTGCTGTCGCTCGGATGGAACTCAGCTCGGCTTTGCAGGCCGGACAAAACTGTTCCCAAGTCACTGCTGGCTGTGTTCCGGATTCTGCAAGCTGTTCGAAACTCCTCTAATCCGATTGTTGTTCACTGCTCGGCTGGTATCGGCCGAACGGGCTCTATGGTGAGAATCATTTCTCTTAATCAACAAGCGCGAGAGATGTCAACTTTGTTGTATCTGCTCCCGCTTTGATGCATCCATGACTTCAGGTGGCTATAGAAATGTGCCTGCAAACGCTATTAGCAGGGAAAACCCTCAATTTACTGGAGGTTTGTAGAAAGCTACGTGGTAAGTGTGACTTGTTGTGAGTCATTTCAGAAGTAGTGCTCTGATGAGCGCTGAGCGAAGTTGAATTTTTGTGGTACCTCGCAAGCATCAGAATGCCGGTAGAACGAGCTCCGGTATGAAACTCGCGCTATCCAATCTTCTCAATTGCTTCAAATCTGGGGAACTTCAAATGGGTCCAGTCGTTCACATTCCGCACATGTGCTGTTCAGATCAACGAATGCACAGCGTTCAAGTGGAGGTTCAGTACGTATATATAGCGGAGGCAATTTGCGAGTACGGAAGAGCAATGGGTTACTTGAATCAGCCGGAGCTACTGAACGTGAGTCTGGAAGATTTCAACGTTTCCGTGAGGCTTGTTGAACAGGGAGTGTTCGAAGGGTGTTTCATAGTGCGGTTTGCCATCGCGAGCGTCGGTGGCTTCTATAATATTTTGGCACAGACAACGCGATTGCACCTGCAGCTCAATCCCCTCTACAGGGTAGGGCATAAATGTGGTGACGAAGTAATTGTGGCCCACTTCGAAACAAAAAGGTCGAACCGGGATACCAAGTATAGCAGCGTTAGGCCATATCATTTCGAACAATTATTGACATTTCTTTTTCAGAATTGCTGTCTTCATACTTGA